TATATTTTTGTCTTACCAATGGTGCTTAAAAGTCCTTTATTTCCCGGAGTATCCATATGGCCTGCATGAATCTCCCTCCAGAGCCATCTGAACTGAAAACAGCCACATCTTAACCAAGTGCAGGCTAGAGAACATTGACATTTGCTTCTCTCTCTCCTGGATGATTTTTAATACTTTTGCCTGAGGAAGAATCCAGTGGAGCTTCGAAAGCTTGCAACACCTATTTTATTTACTTATTTATTTATTTTGCATTTGGTTGGTCCAGTAAAGATGTCACTGCTTTGTGAATTTTGGATGTTATTGTACTTTGCCTTAGAATTTGTAGGGTTTTGGAAAGGCTTAAAGGTTGATAATGCAGGCAAAGCGCTTTGACTGTTTGTTGTTGATTATGTTGATGATCTCTCCCCTTTCTCCTAAAACTGGGACTCAAAGCAGTTGATTGGTATAACTGATTATCATCATCATTATTAAAAATAACTCCATTTCATGCCAAGGACTGTCGTGGGACGGAGCTTCTCAGCCACGGGATCTGGAGGCCTTTCCAGGAGCTTTCTCTGCTGGACAGCTCCCGGTAAAGTCTGGCCTTTGACCTGTGCAAAAGGCACAGAAACTCTTCCTCTGGAAAGGCAGGAGGTAATGCATCTGAGGAAGTAGACTGAAGTCTACGAAAGCTGATGCTGCCAATTTCTTTCTTTCAGTTAGTCTCAAAGGTGCTACAAGATCTCTCTACATACCGATGGAGTAGTTCATCTAGACTAGAGTAATATCCTTCGGTGGGAATCCCAGCAATCTTCTCGCTTCCACAGAGATCTTCTGCCTGAAGTAGCCCAGAATTTCTTCCCATCACCTGTGCAAAGGGATCTTGTAGCGCCTTTGAGACTGCTAGAAATAGTGCAAATTGAGTCCACTTTAACTGCCCTGGCTCAGTGCTAGGGAATCATGGGAATTGTATTTTTTCTGAGACATTGAGCCTTCTCTGTCAGAGAGCTCTGGTGCCACAATAAACTACAGTTCCCATGATTCCCTAGCACTGAGTCAGTGCAGTTAAAGTGGACTCAATTTGCACTATTTCTGGCAGTCTGCAAAGGCCTTTACTGTGCGAAGGAAGTTGTAGCATAAGCTTTCATGGACGCATCTGAGGAAGGAGACCAGCTCTAGGAAGGCTTAGGCTACAACTTCTTTCTCTCAGTCCCAAAAGGGCTACATGGCCCCTTTGCATGCTGATATTCCAGATTAACACGGCAAGGTCTGGATTCTCTTCCCATGCCCTAGTTCCACGCAGGACGCAGAATTCAGTCCTGTAGACATTCGCTTGGGAGTAATCCCACTAAACTCTGTGAGGTGTACCTCTGTGTAGGGCATGAATGGGACCATGCTGTCATGGAAGAGCAGAAACCCCTCTTTGCCATTCTCAAGGAGGATTTAAAGGGTTACTAATCCCTGTGACTTGATCCCTGAAACTAACCACTGCATTCCTCTGGCTCTTTCCAAGTATATATCCAGTATTTGGAATTGTGCACAAAAGGGTCTCAGGACGTAGTAGTTATTTTGGAGTCAAATCTCCACCTTGGGTTCTGAATATTTAGGGAAGGCGAAGAGGGTGGGAGAGAGGAGGATCTTTTCCCATTGCGATCTATGCCAGACCTGCCACTGCCTTTACCATTTTGGTATTTGAATGGCTTAAACCACCCACCACCCATTTTGAAGAAACTTGCCAAGAAACCCGCAGGATAGGTTCACCTTAGGATCGCCATAAGTCGGAAAGGACTTGAAAGCACACAACATGGGCCTTTTGCAGACTGCTAGAAATAGTGCAAATTGAGTCCACTTTTAGGGTTAGGGTTTGTGCTAGGGAATCATGGGAATTGTTGTTGTTTTTTCTGAGACATTGAGCCTTCTCTGTCAGAGAGCTCTGGTGTCACAATAAACTACAGTTCCCACGATTCCCTAGCACTGAATCAGGGCAGTTAAAGTGGACCCAAAAGCAAGAAAAAACAACAAGGATGTGTATGTATGCAAGAGAGAGAGCGAGGGTGGTGTATTTCCAGCTTCCAGTTGCCTTGCCCTTCTGTAGGGAAACTGGATTAAATGTGCCCCTCTCTGGAAAGTCCTCCCAAAAGCCTATCCCCCAAAACCGTACTTTGTTCCAGCCAGGAACTTGGCTGACCCGACGCTTGCCTCTCTCAGGGGCCTCTTGGTCTGTTTTACTGCTCGTTGTTCTTCCTAGGGGGGAGTTCCTCCAAGCTCTTTATGATCAGTGAAACCATCATATCATTTATGCAATGGAGAAAGCGACACAAATCTCTCTCCCTTATGCTGGGATCTCAGAGGAGCTTGCCTTTCAAGTTGGTATCCAAGTATTGGAGTGAGCCATTGTGGTGTCGTGGTTTGAGCGTTGGACTAGGACTCTGGAGACCAGGGTTCGAATCCTGGCTCAACCATGCAAGTCACACTCATGAGAAGGCCATGGTAAACCCCCTCTGAACAAATCTTGCCAAGAAAATCCCATGATAGGTTCGCCTTAGGATCGCCATAAGTCAGAAATGACTTGAAGGTACACACCAGTAGCAATTCAAGTATTAGACCCCCAGTTCAAATTCGTTTTCTCAGAAGTAAGCTCCCACTGGTACCACTGATCTCGCCTCCAAAGTCTATGCACCCTTAATAGGAAACAAATATATTACAGTGCAATACATTTCTTGAAATTTGTTCTAGGAGTACAAATATGAATCACATATGCCCAAATCATACAATACCGAGATGTCTACCATTCATATGTACCCAAATGTACAAGCCATTTTTGCTTAGATTTGACGCTCAACCTGAAAATGTTTAATGGGAAGGAAATCCCTAGGATTCTACTGGCAGGGAAGTGTAAATCCAACACTGGATTACAGCCCTGATCCACTTTGCCCCACTTTTAAAAACACATTTGCTCAGAAGTCTCAGCCATGAGGTTCTGGATTGGGCCAAATCCTATAGCTGTTGTCCTATGCCTTCAAGTAGTTTCCTACCTGTGGCAATCCTAAGAAGAACTTCTCACAGGGTTTTCTTGGCAACATTTGTTCAGATGGAGGAGAGTGACTTTCCCAAGGCCACCCAGAGGGTTTCAATACGACTGTCTCTATAGCCACAGAGTCAGTAAGGGGCTTGTTCACACGTGCAGGTTCAGCCCTTGGTGGTGTAAGAGTAGGGTTGCCAGGTAAAATAAGGATCAAGGGTCCTTCCCCTTTAAATGTTGTGTAGAAGTGGGAGTCAGGTGGTGTAGTGGTTTGAGCATTGACTTTGGAGACCAGGGTTCAAATCACCTTTCGGTCATGGAAACCCTCTGGATGGCCTTGGGAAAGTCACACACTCTCAGCCTCAGAGAAAGGCATGAGCAAACTCCCTTTGAACAAATCCTGCCAAGAAAACCCTTGGTAGGCCTTAGGGTCTCCATAAGTCGGAAACGAGGAGCCCAATGTGGGATAGTGGTTTGAGCGTTGGACTCTGGAGGCCAGGGTTTGAATCCTGGGTCAGCCATGGTAACCCCCTGGGTGACCTTGAACAAGTCACACACTCTCAGCCTCAGAAAAAAACAGCGATAGGGTCGTCTTAGGGTCTCAGAAATGAATTGAAGGCACATCACAAAAAGGAGGAAACAAGCACCATCAAGAAATCCCTTCTTCTACACAACCTGCTGGAGTTACCCCAACACCTACTGAAATTCTATTAATTGTATTAAATTCTATTAAGCAACCATTAAAGGGACAGGAGCCCTTATTTCGCCTGGGGATCAAACTTCACTGAGGGAACCTTCTCATCTCTTACGTCCCCTTGCTTTGGGAGAGAGAAAAAAGTTGGCCCATTTCATGTGCCAGTCCATGGGCGCAGAGTGACCCACAGAGAAGGAATCCAGTGATGGATTCAGCAGATGCCCACCGGCTTTCTTGTGATCCTGGGGAAGCTACTGCACAACCCTTGCAGGGGATAGGCTCCTGTGGGGAAACAGGGCACTCTGATCTGATCACTGGAAAGCTGGCATGGAGGGGGGGGGGATGGAGAAGAGTGGGGAGAAGAGCCCACCGCCCTGCCTTAAAAACCCAGCGTCTGGTTGAATGCGCAAAAAGTCTTTCCATGTCCTAATGAGGGTTTTCCCTGACAACAGCAAGGCCTGGCTAATTAAGTAAGGCGAGGCGCAAGCTGCAAGCAAGGCTTTTGCAGCCAAAGTGTAGAATGTTGTCATATTAAATATGGAAAAGCTTGATTGTGATTTCCAAATCCCAAGGTGGTCTCCCAGGTCCCCTTCGGGGAGAGGGAGGGAAAAAGTGTGCCTTTGTGTGTGTGTGTCTGTGTGTGTGTGTGTAAGTGATGCGTGCCAATGTGAGGATGCTTCACAATGGACAAACAGCAGAGGCTGGCCCCTTTGAAGGCTGCTTGGACTAGTTTATTAGTGAAGTTTTCTCCTATGAGTCTTGGCCCTCTCACACTGTTTTGAACTTCAGTTCCCCCCAGGATCCACTCACTCCCTGGGATTCTTGGCATTACAGGCCAAAAGAACCACCAGCCTCTTTACAGTTTCTAGCATGCCCACAATTTGTACAATTCTCACCATCCTTGCTGGGTGGGGATGATGGGAAATGTCAGCCCAAGCATCTAGAGGGTCAAGGTTTCTGTGGCCTGTGGTGCACAAAGGTGGTCCTACCATGAGGAAGGAGAAAGCATTTGTCTCAGGGAACAACTCTTGGATGTCAAAGAAAAGAAGCAGAAGGCTAGTCGTTAAACTGGTTTGATTAATATCAGGGGTAGGCAACCTTTCCCCTTTAAGGGCCGAGGGACTTCAGCTCCCAGAATCCCAGGAGCTATTGGCCAACATGGGACTATTGGCCAACATGGCTAAGTCTTCTGGGAGCTGAAGTCCCTCAGCCCTTAAAGGGGAAAGGTTGCCTACCCCTAGGTTAGATCTATCCACAGCCAGAGAGTAACCCCATTGATTTCAACGGAGCTACTCTCAGCAGAGAGCCAGCGTGGTATAGTGGTTTGAGTGCTGGAGTCTGACTCTGAAGAGCAGGGTTCGAATCCCAGCTCGGCCATAGAAACCCACTGGGACAGTCACGCTGTCTCAGCCTCAGTGGATGGCAAGGGCGAACCTCCTCTGAGCAAATCTTGCCAAGAAAACCCCATGATAGGTTCCCCTGGGGGTCTCCTTAAGTCAAAAACAACTTGAAGGTATACAACAACAACAACAAATTCCCAGTAGGACTAAGGTTTTTTGTCCTTGAAAAAAGTGACTTTTTTATTGCAGCTCCCAGAATCCCCCAGCCAGCAGGTCCAGTGGGAAAGTAATTTTTCCAAACATTGTTCATTTCATCTTTACTGGGGAGTGCTACTGGTGTAATTTCCTGCCTCAAGTACCAACATAAATTGGTTGGTCTTAGATCCTATGCATTTTGCCTGGTGGAGAGAACAAGATGTCTTGGGCTGGGCTGCCAAATGAAATAAGAGACGGGGCTCCTGTCCCATTAATGGTTGTGGAGAAAGGGGAATTTCAGCAGGCAGTCCTCTTGGTTGTTGTTGTGTGCCTTCAAGTCGTTGCTGACTTATGGCGACCCTAAGGCGACCCTCTCATGGGGTTTTCTTGGCAAGATTTGTTCAGAAGAGGTTTGCCATGGCCTTCCCCTGAGGCTGAGAGAGTGTGACTGGCCCAAGGTTACCCAGTGGGTTTCCATCGCCAAGCGGGGAACTGAACCCTGGTCTCCAGTGTCGGAGTCCAAGGCTCAAATAATCCCAACGCGGCCACTCTACACAGCCATTAAAGGGACAGGAGCTCTGTCCCTTATTTCACCATGTTTTGGACTTCAGCTCCCAGAAGCCCTAGTCAGTTTGGCCAACAATCAGGAATTCTGGGAGCTGAAGTCCAAAACATGGTGAAATAAGGGACACACGTGGAAGCGTGAATCAGGAGGACCCACCGGCTTAGAAAGAGTCTCTTTGACCTTCCTTCAAATATTCAGTGGGGAAGACTCAGCATCCAGAGTGAATTCAAAGGTTGATTCACACATGCAAGTTTCTCTCTGGATTTCTCTTCCAGGCCCCTGGGACTTGACCAGTGACAGCTTCAGGTGTGACAGGTGAGTTTGCTGGAAATCATTGTTCCTAGGAGGATAAGGAAGCCCTGCATTGTTTTGGGACCTTCCATCCATCCATCCACCCATGGAAACCTTCTCTGATGTTGCAATGCTCAAAAGTTTGACTTGCATGTATCAACTATCCTTCAGCCTTTCTCGTCCAACGCGGCAGCCCTTCAGACTTTATTGGAATCCAAACTCCCATCAGCCACAGCCAGCACTGCCGACGGTTAAGGAGGATGGGAACTGTAGTTCAACCAACCCGGGAGGGGCTCAGGTTCTCCACCTCTGTTGTTTGGTCCCCACTACCTTCGACCTGGAACAAGAGTGGTGTTGTCCAGGTGTTGTCAGACTGCAATTCCGTGGCCAAAGGTGTTGGATGATGGGAACTGTAGTGCAACAACAAGCCGGGGAACACATGAGAATCTCGGTTCTCCCGTCGAGCTATCCGAGGGTGTTTCTACACAGCAGAAATAATAATAATAATAATAATAATAATAATAATAATAATAATAATAATAATAATGATGTTTTATTTTTAACCCGCCCCTCTTCTCAGCAACCGGGGCGGGGTACAGCATAATTAAAACAAACAATAGTTAAAACATACCATCAACCCACTCTCCCCCCCTCCATTCTATGGAATCCTGGGATTTGTAGTTTTATCCAGTCTTTAGCCTTCTTTGCCTAAGAATGCTGGTGCCTCAAAAGACTATAAGTCCCAGGATTCAGCAGGATGAAGCCATGACAGCTAAAGCGGTATCAACCCGCGCTGTTTCCATAGTGTAGGCAGATACACCCCTATATGAGGTCTTACTATATAGCCATTTTATTTCACTTCTGGGGCAGTGAGAGGCAGTGTAGTGGCCTGAGAGTTGTACTGGGACTTTGGAGGCCAGGGTTCATCTCCTTACTGGGTGATACTGGGCACGTTGCCCTCTCCTAAGCCTCAGAGGAAAGCAAGGGCAATCCCCCCTGCGACCAGATCTTGCCAAGAAAACCATAGATCTTTCTTGGGGGGTCACTATAACTCTGAAACAACTCCAAGAAGTTTACTAGGACTCAGGGTTCAAATCTCCACTGGGTGATATTGGGCAAGTTGCCCTCTCCCAAGCCTCAAAGGAAGGCAATCTTGCCAAGACACCCATAGGTCTTTCTTGGGGGTCACCATAACTCTGAAACAACTTGAAGACACAGTAGTGGCTTGAGACTCTGGAGACCAGGGTTCAAATCCTCACTGGGTGATATTGGACAAGCTGCCTTCTCCCAAGCCTCAAAGGCAGGCAAAGAAAATCTCTCCTGGGACCAGATCTTGCCAAAACAATCCTGCCGTAGGTCCTTCTTGGGAGTCACCATAACGATTTGAAGACACAGAAGAACAAGAGAGAGTTTCATTCATTCATTCATTCATTCATTCAACTTCCCTCCAGTTTGTGCATGTGTGCTAGACCAGATTTCTTTAAATTAGGGTGTCTTTGTGTTGGAGATGGGTGAGAGGAGATGGTTTAAAAGTCAAGATGTAAACTCTGTGGGAGAGGCTTGTCCAAAAAGTCCAGAAGTCCCATCGCCCTTCTTTTCTGCTCTCCTCTTGCAAACCAGAGTCCATTCAGGGGGAAAAGGAGGGGAGAGAAGAGCCTGGGAAAGAGTTGCCTTGTCATGTAACACATTGCGCTGATTTATTATAAAATTTTAACGAAATCATGCATATTTTAACAGCCTTTAATCACTGCATGAAAATTTAATTCATGAACTGTAGCACGTTTAAATAAATGAAGTGTTAATTCATTAGGATTAATTAATTTGTTAAAGGATTGTGGGCAAGGTTAAGGTGGAAGGAAAACTCCTTTGTTGGTTTCGCGGCTTAATCGCTAGGTTTTGTTAGCAGTCATAATAATATTTATTTTAAAACAAACCCCAATGCAGCAGTGCTTGGATGATGGCTCGTGAAATTGGAAGAAAATTCAGTGGAGTTGCAAGTCCATCGGTACACAAACATGGGTACACAAACAACACAAATACACAGATCGATGGGATATTAAATCATCCACACCAATTCAATGAAGGTAGGTGTGGATGATGGTGGTGGTGGTGGTGGTAGTGGAGGCAGAAATAGCCCATCCAGGTCATCCATATATTAGGATCCATATATTAGGATCTCGAGTTTTTCCACTGGTAAATCTGGAGATCAACCAGTCAGTAATTCTAAATGAAGTTTAGTGATTTATAATCCGGACAAATCTGGAGTTTTGTGAATCGATGAAGGTAGATGAGGGGAAAAAGAGAACTAGCTTTACTCAGGTCATCCATAAATTAGGTGCCCCTGGGACCTTTCCATACTGATCTCTATTTTTTTTTCCACTCATAAATCTGGATATTAACCAGCCAGTAATTCTTAATGAAATTTAGTGATTTAAGACCTGGACAAATCTGGCGTTTTGTCCTTTGTAACGTCTTCAGGGAGTTGGCAAAAGAGCCTGGAAATGTTCTAAAGACTGAAAGAACACAAAGAGACCATCCCATACGGATTGCAGCCTGAATTGAACATTGAAGTCAGTTGTGGGGAAAAACTGGCCCCTGGATATAAGAGAGAACCAGATAAGGATATTGCTTCTCTCCTCTACTTGTTTCTCAGTTTGCACCAATCTCTGCATTACTTCTGGATTTAACTACTTACTGTGGATTACCCTAAATAATCCTGGGGGGAAAAGTCGTTGTGAAAATGCTGATACTTCTTTGCCTAAGGAATATCAGCACCTCTACAGGGCCTACATACCTAAAAGGAACTAGATCTGGTCTGATCTTGGAAATTAAGCAGGGTTAGCCCTGGTTAGCACTTGAATGGGAGACCAACAACCAATATCAGGTGTTGTGAACTATATTTCAGAGGAAGGGACTAGCAAAACCACCTCTATTCTTGGTTTAAGAAAATTCTGTGAAATTCATGGGTCCCCATAAGTTAAAAGGTGACTTAAAGGTACGTACATGCACAGAGTCCTCAGCTGACACTCCCTCTTGCTGGAGATTGGAAAAGTTACTTTTTGGACTATTATATACAGACTCTAGGATGCCTGGGGGAATCCTAAGAGTTGTAACCCCCTCCTCCTCATTTCCAAGCTCTCTGGTTGTTCCAAAGATCCCTGGGGAAGAAGAGTACATAAAAGTATCCACACATGATCAAACTGCATTTCCCATGAGTTGGGATGAATGGGAGTCAGACAGTTATAGTGGCATAAATTCAGTATAAATGTGTGCATTGGTTGTGCTCTTAAAATCTCAGCTTTCTACTGAACTACTATTTCCATGGTTTCTCTACTGAGCATAGTGGATTAGTGATTTACATCTGTTGTATGGACACATGCTCAAGGAATATCTTTAGAAGGAATACAAACAGCAGGCAGCCAAGTCCTCTCATGAGCCAAAACAAGAACAAAATCACCCCAATCCCAGTATTGTATAGTCAGATGTTTTCTAGGACCTTGCCACACCCATAAAATCAGGAGCAAGCTTTTGAACCCTAAAGAATTCTTTATCTCGATGAACATTTTTAAAAAATACAGGAACAAGTGAGGTGTGCATCATGGTGTTACTCCAAAGTCTGCAGTTTATAATTTGGCACACTGAGCTTCATAAACCAGATTTTTGAGCTCATCAAGAGACAAACTTGGAAGCAAGTAGTTGCAAAATAAATAGTTGCCTGTAGTTAATTTCGTTATCCAAAAAGGAACGTCCAGCTAGATTATATCCTGACTATAACTTCATACTATCAAGCATATATATTCAGGTATTCGGCAGGACTAGAAACTTGTATAAAAAGTGATTTTTATAGTTACAAGAATGTGACCTTGCTAAATGGTGGAGGACCAATATATGTTCAAGTAGTGGCTCATGCCTTGGTGTGAGTGCTGAATCAACAACACACCAGAAAAAGAAACTATAGAACAGGTCAAGACCTTAGATACCTGGGG